TCAGTGATCTCTTTTCGCAGCCCCCATTCCAGGGCTCACTCTTTGTATCAGCATGGGTTGGAAGGGTGGGTTTGTCACAGCATCCACCATCAGCCCCCACTGCAGTAGCACTCACTGCCCTGCTGAGGCTGAACTGTGGCATTTGGTGAAAGGTCACTGGCTCCAGTTTCATTCAGCATCATCCAAGAGACTATCATTTCCAATCAGTTGGAAAAGGTGTCACCTTCAAGGCACAGGACTAGTTTAATATGCCAGTGGAAGTGTGACTCACCTCTGAGAGCTCTTGTGTAATCTTCATATTAGAGGGCAAATCTCCCATCTATCTGTCAAATGGAGGTGTTTACATTTTTGCCTTTCTATGCTGTTCCCACCCATCCTACTGAGCGGTTCTCAGGCTTAAAAAGAATCATTACACATTTTTTAAACAGTCTGATTTCTTGCCCTTAAAGGCTAATTGTGTGTATAGCTTAATCGTTCCATTTAATCATCACAGTTTTTATCATTCCGTGGGATTGATAAAAATGTATTTATCTAAACAGGGTGAAGTTTTCATGCAACCCAACCTTGTGCCTTTATCCAAGTTTTATTCTTTTATTTCTCTCCTTCCTTTGTTGTTGGCTGCAACGTTTCTAGAAAGCTTGGTAGTAGAGACTGTGTTCTTTCCATAATTTTTATTGAGGGAGTGTTATATCAGTCTCTTCATCTCCTATTATTTATGCTTCTGTGTCTCCTTTTGCCATTGTCTGTCAGACCTTTATACAGTGTAAAAGCCTACATATCACTTAAAAGATCTACAGATCTAAGTAGAATGCATAAATATATATTCAGTGAATTGTGTTTACTTTTTATTTCATTATTTTGCCTTTAATCTTTTGAAGAGTGCCATACAGACACAAGCTACATGTATAAAATAACTCTCATTCTCTCGTAAAATTCTTCACAGGATCCACATATTTTTCATTTGTTCTTAAAACAGTTTGCATCAGTCTATCTGTACCCTATCTATTACTGAAGCAAAAGCTGAAATGAGTTTTGGATTAGTACTTAAGAGTCTGGAGAGTGTCAAGAGAAATGTCACAAAGATGACCCAAGGACTGGGAAGCCTGCCATGTGAGGAAAAAAGGCTCAGAGGATACCTTATCAGTATTTAAAGGGTGGCTACAAAGAAGATGGATCCTCCCTTTTTACAAGTAATCACTGGGACATCTAGTCTAGGTCATGCTTGGCCTTGAAATGTTGGATGAGATAATCCTTGAGGTACCACCCAATCTAGTATTCTATGACTGATTCTATTTGAGCACCAGCTCAAAGCACTGTGCTTTATATATACTAGAAAGGACCCAGGACTTGTAAAAAGCATTTGGGGATTTTTCAGTTAAAAAATAAAAAAAGAAAAAAATGAAAGAAAAAGAGGCAAATAATAGACTTACTTACCCTGATAGCACCCTTTGAACCACTAAATCTAAAACAAACTTTCTGTTAGAAGATTATCTGAACTTTGTCTTTTTGACCAGTGTAAAGGATCATTTGGAATGAACAGAAGAGCTGCATGTGATGTTTTGACAAATGTTAGAAGCAATAGGCCAACCACCACCCCATTTCTTATTTGCTAATTTGATTTAGTATACCAATGATATTCTAGCTACACAGCAGAGGGATTTTGCATTAGAAGCGTTTTAGTACTGGTCAGGCTGACAACTGCCATGATGATGAAATAATGTGCAGAATGCAATGGCTGTACTAAAAGCAGATCTGTTTGCATGTATAATGTGAAACCTGTCCCCTTCTTTTATTAATAGCACCATATGCTATGCCAGAGCTCCACAGGTATGTTATTTTCTGGTTTTGTACGAAGTCTGTTGAAGAAAGAAAATCTCCTAACCTAGCAAAAAGTACTCAAACATACTTCCTGTGATGGGATTGCATACTTTTAACTAGATCACAGTTGTAGGAAAGAGAAAAACAGATCTTCAAAATCACTTTTTTCCACCATTGCCTTAGAGGCAAGGTCTGCATGCTGCTTCATCTAAGGAGCTCTGCTCACCTTTTCTTCCTCCTGATTAGAATGAGGCTTGAATAACATCCCCACAAACTAAGCACATGGGATGCAAGCAGTATGGAACTTGTTGCTGGTGTTTAGTGCTGTCATAGAATCATAGAATGGTTTGGGTTTGAAGAGACCTTAAAGCTCATCTAATTACATCCCTCCTGCCATGGGCAGGGGCACCTTCCAGCAGGCCAGGTTGCTCAAAGCCCCATCCAACCTGACCTTGAACACTGCCAGGGATGGGGCAGCTACAACCTCTGGACAACCTGTTGCAGTGCCTCACCACCCTCATGTGGTGTAAAGAATTTTGTTCCTAACATCTACTCTAAGTTTTCCCTCCTTCAGTTCAAAAACGTTACTACCTGTCCTGGTAAAAAGTTCCTCTCCAGCTTTCTTGTGGGCCCTCTTTAGGTACTGGAAGGCTGCTTTAAGGTCTCCCTCAGCCTCCTCTTCTCCAGAAGGAACAAGCCATACTCTCTCAGCCTGTCTTCACAGAAGAAATGCTCAAGCCCTCTGAGCATCTTTGTTGCCTCCTCTGGACTCACTCAAGCAGGTCCACATCCTTCTTGTGTTAGGGGCTCCAGAGTAGAAGAAGAGGTGTGTGGTACGGTGAGCTATTTCCCAAAGTATGACCCGTATCGATGACAAGCACACTTTTGCCTTCCAAAACTTGCTCCACTGCTGTGCTGCTTGGCCAGTGGTGAGTGAAAAGTGCTCTCGTGCCTGCCTAGCACTCATCTCTTGTGTGCAAGGAGAACTGGAAAGTGGCAACTGCTGATGGGGCAGCAAGGCTGGAGCCTTCCCAAGCACAGGCTGCTGTGCACAAGCAAGAACCCCCAGGGAAATGGAGCCAAGGGAAGAGCAAAGCTCAGCTGTGCTACGAGTTTGCACTGGGCGTGAGAGCCAGGGAGAGCCAGGGCACAAGTGGTGTCTTGGAGGTGCGAGAGCAGTGGGCAAGAACCAATGCCCAAGGCCACAGAGGACCCCTGACAGGGAGCTGTGCTGAGTGCTACGGAGGACAAGCAGCAACCCCCAGGGGCTACAGTGGCAGTCTAGAAAGCTTCCTCCCCACGGGTGTGGGGCACCAGGGCCACCTGCGTGGAGCATGAGCAGGCACCTAGCCAAAATGGCCCAAAGCAGCCCTGCAAGGTGCCATGCTCAGTGCTGCAGAGGAAAGGCAAAAAACCCCAGGGACACTTGCAAGCCCACCCTGGGGGAAAAGAAGCCTTCCTCCTCCCAGCTGCAGGGCACGAGGGGCCGCCTTTGCGGTTCATGGGCAGCAGGCAGTAAGGTAGCCTGAATGGATCAGAGGAGCCACGACAAGTGGCCATGCTCAGTGCTCAGAGGAAGGCAAAAAATCCCCAGGGACCAGCACCAGTCTGTCCCGGGGGAAAATTCCTTTCTGACCCCAGCACTGGCAATTGGCTACTCCCAGAGCATGTGAGCAAGACCTGCTCCTGGTCCACAGGCTGGTCATGTCTCCCTGGAGATGCCCAAGCCCTATTCTCCCTCAACCTGGAGCCACCTCAGGGCCTCCTGAGAGTGGCCAAATGCCCCTGGCCTGATCGACCTTGGGTGCAAGAATCCTTCCATGCCTGTCAGGGCATCAGTGGCTGCTCCTTTCCAATGTATCTGCATCTTATTTCTTACGGCTACTGCCCCTGGCTCCATGGGGGATAAAGATGATGAGCTCAGCAGTGCTCCTCAAGAAGCTGCATTGTGACTGCTGCATTGCTGGGTGGTGGCACTGTGACATGTGGGTAAGAGAGCACCACATGCACAACCCTGCCCGCTGCCCCTCTGCCCAGCATCCTCTGGAGGAAGGCCTTTGGGGTTTGATGAAATGTAGTTATGTCCATTAAAATGGGTGATGGGATTGTAAACTGTCACCTCCTGACTTTCCCTCTGAGCTGCACTGCACCTTAGGAAACATGCTGTCAAAAAGCAAGAGGTGGTAAAATATGAACCCTGTGAGGGAAGACTAAACCACGCTAAAGTACTTTTAAAGGACTTTGAAGATACTCAGTTAATGTTTTTCTGCCCCTTACTGTCAGTCTCAAGCATGACCTTTGCTTGAGGCTAGTTCAAAGCAGAAAACCTTAGCAATCAAATCCCTCTAAAACTCTCCACATAAAGTATTGTTCATAGGTGAGAAGACGCTTTTAGGAAAATCCAAAGAAATGCTAAAGATTAAAAGAGGAATGCAAAGGGAAATCAAAACTCTGTGCCTACAGCTGCAGTTCCTATTAGCAAAACAAAAGCTAGGTATGTTTTGTCACTGAACTTTGTTTCATTCTTCCTGTCGCGATTTTAATTCAGTAATTTAGGTTAAATGAATGATAACAATGAAACTCAATAAAACTTGCCTTATGTAACTCTGGATTTTCTTACTTTGCTTGTGGGCTTTCCAGATCTTCTGCTTAAAAACAAGAGAGTGCTGCTAATAAGTGAAATGAAGGCTATAACACATAATTGTTCTTACTTCCTTATCTGAGTGGGAAGACAGTGCTGCAATTAAAATCCACAATTCCATTGTTCCAGATGGCAAGTAGCTAGTTCATTGACATTTCTGTCTACCTTCACATTAGCACCACGTGATACAGGTATACTGCTTGTAAGGAGTTACGGGCAGTACAATTGGAAATTTGGACATACCTGTATTTACACAGTATACTACAATACCAAAGCTGACATAAAATTTCGTTTTCTGAATTGTGACATGGACATGCTTAAATCAGATAAGCTTAATTTGTAAATTATTGAAGATGTAATTATTTTGTAACCTATAAAGCCACACCTCACCAGTACCTCTCATTCATGCAAGCCCTATAATATTACAAGTAGTACAGACTGGGAATAAAGTCATTAAAAGGAGATTGCAGCAGACCAACTAGTGTCATAAACCATCTTTAATAAATGCATGCCTAGATGCATCCTGCGCTTCCTCTTGATTCCCAAGGGTTGTGCCATATACCTTCAAAACTCGCCTGTATGGAGAGGTTAAAAGAGAGTGAGCTAACAGGGATTAGGGCAATATGGGGAAGGGAACTTCATCAGCCAGAGTCACAGCATGGTGGGTGCTCTGCTGAGGGCACTATGGCACATGTGGTTACCGACACCCTCCGCCTTCACTTCTTGTGCCTTGCGAGTTGTGCGCTTTGCCTTGGCCGTGCTGAGCTCACTCCTGAGTGGCCCATAAAGGAAAGCAGTTCCCAGCTAAGGAAGTGGCCAATGGGAGTCCTGCTTTATAACCAGTCTAACGCACAGCTTGAGCACGTTACTAGATCTGCATGCCACGAATTTCAGTGTTTGGTAAGAGCAGCTGAGCAGCGGTTGCTCAGCTGTAGTCCTGTCTCAGGCTCCTTTTCTGCATACAGAGGAGCTGTGGGGCCAGCCTGGGGTGCAATTATTCCGAGCACTCAATCACATGGTCTCAGAAACATCTCAATAAAATCTGACCAGCAACGCAGACAACCGCTTTGCCTCAAAATAAAACAGCTACCCGGGATCTGAGCGCGGCAAGAAAGCGTCCTGTCCAGCCTAGAAGCGAGGAACTCTGGCACTCAGCAAAAATGTCCGACAAAACCCCCTTCGAAACAGATATGCTAACGCTCACGAGATTCGTTATGGAGAAGGGACGCCGTGTTAAAGGAGCAACGGGGGAGCTGACACAGCTGCTCAACTCCATGCTGACTGCCATAAAGGCCATTTCCTCTGCAGTCAGAAAGGCAGGCCTTGCCCACATGTGAGTCCTACCTAGCGATAAGGGGAGGAAGAGGAGGTAGAGAGACAGCTGCTTGCACAGGAAGGCTGGGGAGTGGGCAGGGATTCATAAATACATTGGAAGTGTCTTTTTTAAGCTGAGTGACTGTATATATGAGGTCAGAGCCTGGATTATCAGGAGTGGGAAGCGAGAAAACTCCTTTTCTGGATCATTTTAATATCAGGAGAAAGGTAGACGTTTAAACTAACTGCTGTTCTCTAATATTTTACTCTAAAAATGTAAGCCAGAACGTCAATGCATTGCTCACCTCATTATCCCTTGTAAATGTTGATATTGACCTATTTTTAAATCTACTGTGAATTTGCAGAATATCACACTATGATATTTTCAATGCAGAATATCACACCATGATATTTTCTGCTAACATCCAAACCTGGTGCTGAGCTATGCAAATCAGGGCTTGGCTTATCTTGGAAAGCTGATGTTCTGCCTCACTGCAGTACTAGTAATGCTCTAAAGCGACAGACCTGCAAGAAATGCCATACGCTGCCATGCATGAGTGCATTTCCCCTTTCTTCTTCAAGCAGTATCAGGGTTACAAGCAGGGAGTCTTAAAAGGTCCTGTATTGAAAACAAACATAACAATTTGGCACGTAGTGGTTTAGCAAATAAAGAAAGAATAAAGAATTGCCTTAGTAAAACCTGGAATGAACCAAGCTGTTCCTCGCACAGCCAGATGAAATAGACATCAGTGTCATCGTTTTAATGGTGATCTACCTGAAGCAATTTAGAGAGCTGGAACATCCTAATAAAATTATGTGTTTAAAATATGTAGGTTTTGTTATGTATTGATATACATGTTTCTGTACATTCCTGTGCATATGTATGTACATATGCATACATGCATAAAAAAGACAGGTAATATATTCGTGTAAGAAACACAACACTTGTAATTTGTTGGGATTTTTTGTTGTGGGTTTGTCTGGTTTTTTTCAAAAATATATAGCACTCTGGGGGGTTTTGTGCTTCTGCTTACCATTTGGTGAAAGTCCTCAATGATCTTTGCAAATCACGAATTCAGTGTCTCAGTACTATCACCCTCACTTTAGAGGTATGGAACATAATATGTAGAAAGAACATGAGACATACTCAAATTTAACAGCAGCATCAGGCTCCTATGCCCTTAGCTGTTAAACTGTGATTTGTCTCTGTACTTATGATGTGAAGCTGAGCTGTTTTGCCTCTCTGACTTAGAGCAACAGTTGCTTTTATCTCATTTTTATCCTTCAATATGCAGCCTCTGAAGTGTTTAGTAAGTGGAGAGAACCTCTATTTGATAGACTAGAGGTAGAATAGTCACCTAGTCTACAGGGCACATGGCTACTGTGCTAGATGAATCTTCCCCTCAGAAACAAAACATGTATTACGTTAGAGCAAATGTCCTTTTCAATAAACAAAAGCTTCAGGTAATGAAACAGAAACATCTAAAGTTTCCAGACACACAAATGTGTAACTTGCACCATACAGATTACAGCAAGTAATCGTGAAAATTCAAAAATTCTCATGGCAAACTTTCAACCACAGTCACTGGCTTGAATCCATCTACATTTGTGAAGCTAGAGAGCTCTGGTTTTTCTAGTCCTTCCAAATAGGACACTGTGAAGTGTCTTCTTCAGTGTTAAAAAGCCCAGCATGATTTTTTAGCAAATTTGCCATTCAAAAGTAAAGGAAGACTTTTTCCAAGACATAGACCTGAGCTGGGAATGTGCCTGAAAACACACTAACTAAAGAATGGATGCTTGGCACTCCCTGAAAATCATGGTCCTTTCCAGTATCTCAAACTTGGCACTCAAAAATAGAGTGCCCCAAACACTTGCTACTTCTGAAAAGCTCAGGCAGCTTTGAGCTTTGAGTAAAATAAAAGACTTACCCTGTCTCCAGCTAATGCCTGCTGCTGCCCAGCATCCTAGGGACTAATTAGTTGTCCCTTTCTCTTTTCTTTTTTTTTTCTCCAATAATGAAGAAAAATGTTGTACCTATTTCCTGCATGATTCTTTATACTTCTAAGGTGCCCAGACCATGCACATGAAGTCTAAACAGTGCTTCCTTAACTAGAAATCTCAGAAATATGTACACTACTATATACTACATCATTAGTATATTGCTAAAATCAGAATAGGGAACAGAAGCATCATCCTAACCGAGCCAAGGATCATGGAATAAACCAGACCTTGATCCTGAGATACAGCTCAGCATAAGGAATTTTCTGGAGGTGTCTTTAATGCTTCTGGTTTTGGGGTGGCTGGGGACTGAGTAGTTGAGGGTTAAAGGGCCATCACAGAGCTCTGAGCAGCCAGTGCCAGAAAATCATACAGATGCTAACTGCCTCTTCTCACTTCTCAAAGCTGCTGCCAGTTGCTTGTGGGGCTTCTAGAGAAGCCTGGCACCCACTGGTTTGGCTGGGGGTCTAGTCTGGCCTGGAGAACATCCAAGCAGGAGCATAAGGACCCAGATAAAGCCCCAGAATGATGCCTTTCTCATGCATGCTTTTATTTTTTAGCAGCAGCAACCATCTCCTAACTCACCTTAGTAGTTTAATCCAAAGATTAGAGGTGTGGGAAGATGACAGGAAGGAGCTATCCTGACTTGGGTTGTTTTTTTTTCTCCCTAAAACCCGTAACATTGGCCTCCCTCAGGTTTCTTGATATTTTCCATTTTCTGTAGGTTTGGTATAGCTGGCACTGTGAACGTGACCGGGGACGAAGTGAAGAAGCTGGACGTACTGTCCAACTCCCTGGTGATTAATATGCTTCAGTCCTCCTACAGCACCTGCGTCCTGGTCACGGAGGAGAACAAGGAGGCCATCGTCACCCCCAAGGACAAGCAGGTCTGTACACCGGCTCGGGCAGCAGCAGGGGGCACTGGTGCTTCACGTGTGGGAGCCAACCCTTCCCGAGGGAATGCAGAGCGTGTGCGCTATTACTGCATTGTTTTGATTATTAACCATGGTGGAGGGCACGGCTTCAACAGCTAAATGAGCTGTGCAGGGTAAAATTATTATTGGACTTCTGTGAAGGGGGGAGAATAGTTATTTTTGAGCTTGCTAACACACCGCAGATCCCAGGTGTGTGTGTACTAGTGCACTCCCTGAGCGCCGGTGGAAACATAAAACGACAGGAGAGGCTGGCAGAACTGGGGATTACATTATGTGTTCAGAGGAAACACCTGATTGCTTCACCAGGCTTCCCCCAGGAGGGGATCCTATTGCTGCGAGATACTGCTCGTGCTGATGTAACCTAGCCTTTCCTCAAGATGTTTTCTTTCTGCCTTCTTACTCTCAAACCTCCCACCACAAGCAAGTCCTTTAGTTTGGAATGAAATGTAGCAGAAAACCCTCCTTATTTACTTGAAGAAGATGCTTGCTTCCAGAATGAGTCACTCCTTTTGCTCTCAAGTGATTTCTTGCATTACTTGTCAGCAGAGGACTGCTCCTTTCTATCATCAGATTTAGTGCTGTTTGAGCAGAAGAGTGCTCTCTCTTCGTTCTCTGTCAGGCCCCACAGGGGGTGGGTGTTGTGATGCAGGGCCAGCTGGGTCAACAGCACAGCTCTCTCTGGCAAGCCATGTCAGGCGTGCTTGGAGGACTAAACGCAGTCATAAAAATATGGGGTTTGTCAAGTAAGAGGAAAGAACAGTGCAAGACTATGTATCATTTAATGCTTCCCTTGGCAATTCTGTTTTAGGGTAAATATGTGGTGTGCTTTGACCCCCTTGATGGCTCATCCAATATAGACTGCTTGGCACCAATAGGAACGATATTTGCTATCTACAAGAAGGTAAGACAACAAATGAAGCACACATGGCATGATTCACTTGGTGAAAGCAAAATTTCTTAGGTATGTCAACTTGCTTCATTTCTTTCTATATCCTCTAAATGATCAACAGAGCTCTAGAAAGAGTAAAAGACATGACATTTGAGATTCACATGCACTAAAATGCTGCCTGAATTCCCAGGAAGGAGGCATTCATTCCCATGAAATTGCTGGGTGGCAGCACTTCCCTCCTCCAGACATACAGACACTTAAACAAAACCCTCTCATCATTAGGCAGCTGGTTGGCTCTTCAGTGATTCTTTACTCGCTGCAGGAGAGCTGAGGGGAGTCACGGTTCCTGCAAATCACAGTATTTGTCTTCCTGGATACTGACCGGGGAGGGCTGATGGTTACTGCCTGGGCTGTATTGTGGCTAGCCATGTGGTGGCCTCCCACTGTGAGTTGCATGCTTGTTACGGATGGGAGTATATAAGCATGCTAACAGTGAAAGCCTCCTGAGGCTGAAGGAAGCAGTCACCTACAGCCACCGGGCCCTGCCAGTGTGTTTGCTCCTATGGGGCTGCACAGAACAGCAACTGTGCAGCCAATTAACGAACGTTAATAGTTAGAGTCATGCCAAGTCTTGTGATTTGATTTCTAATCTCTCTGTAGCTGGTGTTTTTCCTAAACCCTGAGCTCACAGTCAAGTGACTATGGGAGACCCTCAGCCATTACTATTCTGAAGTAACATTTACAGTACTTGTGACTGCAAAGAAGTCTTTACAGATTCAGATGCTACACTTCAAACACATGAAAATATGTTTTTAAAGTCTGTCTCATCTTTTAACTCATGATTTTCAACTGGCTAGTCCTCCTTTTTGGCATTCTGGCAGGTAATATGCTAACCACCGCTGTTGATAATATGTATGCGTCTACTAGCAAACCAAATAGTTAAGGCACGATCTCTACAGACTCATGGCACAAGCCAAGTGCTGGCAAATGGCTGTCCACATTGTTAATGGGTAGTGCAAACCCCCATCACAGATGCAGCCCAGGCCAGCCAACACCGAGACGATGCCTGGGTATGGTTTGTGGACAGAGCAGTCCAGGACTACCTCCAGTACTTTCTACCATATTGATTTTTGCAGGGAAAAGGGTTTAGCTTTAGATGCAGCCGATGCCATGTGTTCTTAAGTTAAGCAAAGGGGCCCCCATCCTTTTCACTGACCTCTCAAAAGATAGCCTAAAAGACTACAGCACCTCCTAAGATTTACAGTAGGCAATAGCTGTGTCATCCACTGTTCTTAAATGTGGTAAGCAGCATCACACAAATACTAAACATTAGCTTTCTCCTTAGAATTATTGTGTTAAGTTACTCTGTGTAACTATAGAAGCAAGAGCTCAGTGTAATTAATATAGCTTAGCAGGTGGAAATACAGATTAGATTTCCCTACCATCTTTAGCTCACCTGATAATGTGTATGAAGACTACAGACTGCCTAGTCTTCCCAAGGATTCTGCTTCAGAACAGAAACATTCTCCAAAGAACTCATGTTCCCAAATGCTCAAGTTTTCAATTGATTTTCTCATCCTTCCACAGTTGTTGCTCTAACATAACAATGGACATGAGCTGGCAATGTGTGCTTGCAGCCCAGAAGGCCAATCTTGCCCAAAAGTGCTTGACCAGTAGGTTGAGGGAGGTGATTCTGACCCTCTGCTCTGCTCTGGTGAGACCCCACCTGCAGCACTGCATCCAGCTCTGGAGTCCTCAGCACAGGAAGGACATGGACCTGTTGGAGAGGGTTCAGAGGAGGGACGCAAAAATAATCAGAGGGATGGAGCACCTCTCGTATGAGGAAAAGATGAGTCAGTTCGGCTTGTTGAGCCTGGGGAAGAGAATGCTTCAGGGGGACCTTGTTATGGACTTTCAGTTCCTAAGAGGAACCTGTAAGAAAGATGGGGAGAGACTTTTTAGCAGGCCCTGTTGCAACAGGACAAGGGGTGATGGTTTTAAACTAAAAGAGGAGATATTCAGGCTGGGTGTGAAGAAAACATTCTTTACAATGAGGGTGGTAAAACACTGGCACAGGCTGCCCAGAGAGGTGGTGGATGTGCCATCCCTGGAGACATTCAAGACCAGGCTGGATGTGGTTCTGGGCAACCTGATCTAGTTGAAGATGTCCCTGCTCATTGCAGGGGCATTGGACTAGATGACCTTGGAATTCTCCTTCCAACCCAAACTGTTCTATGATTCTAATTAACATATTTGTTGCAAATACTGTTTCTAAGTTTTGGTTTTCATGTGGGTGGATACCCTTCAGCGCCTCATAAAAAGAAAAATACATTGCTTTGTACAAATGCTTTATATCCAAATGAAAACCCTGCTGCTAGGATGAAGTGTGGTTTGTCAATTATAAAAACAACTTACCAATTTTCCCCGGAAAGTAAAAACAATGTTGAATTTACAGTTTTTCACTTGCATAATTCTTTCCATTAAAATGTTAATTCTAAAGTACACATTAATTAATGCACCCTCCTCTCAGAGTAGAAAATTTCATAGCAACACTGCTAACTTTAAATACTACTAACCTCAAAACCTTTGAAATAATGAAATCATAATAAGTGCTTTGTTGATTGTCACTGAAGAGTAGTAGTATGAAAGGAATAAAAGTGAGATGTTTATCCTAATGGATGAGAATCACGAAAGAAAACACAATTTCAGACTATTCAAGGTTCATTTGGAAAAGCTATGAGAATTGTAATCCCAAAGGGTGATTCTTAGCTCCTGTCTGATGTTTATTACCTTCCAGTTCTGAGACTATCATCTGATTATCTCACTATGTCAGCACTTCAACTTCATTTCCAAAGGCCTACCCTCCAGAACTGAAATATTTACCTCATTTTAGGAAAAAGAAAAAAAAATAAACAGCACTTTTCTACAAAGGTCAGACTCAGTGCCAATACATTCAAACCTGAAAATGTTTCTCTGGCTGCTCCCAATCTAGAGCCACCACCATAGTGGCAGGTACCATTGCCTCCTGCCAGAAAGCACTGTGTCAGCTTCCTAGAGAAAATCACCAAAAAATAAAGGCTATCTGAGGTTTATTTAATTTTCCACCTGGCTTTTACTTTCTGCTGCACAGGTGGTATCGATAAAAAGACCAGAAACATCAGAAAAGTGGGGCTGAGGGAGGACTCGTGGAATCAGCAAGAAGCCAGAGCAAGTGGTAGGACATTGACAGTCACTGCCGCTAAGGGGCTCTCAACTGCTGCAGTGCAGAAGGTGTTGACAATATGTATATTTTGCTTGGATTCTTCCAAATTTTTCATGCACTGAACTGGATCAACAACTCCCAATTCATACTGCATATACATGCTATGAAACTCCACTGCTTTGTTTCATTCTGGTTTTAATTTGTATCTTTGCACGGTACCTCAGATGTGTCTATTGTCATGAGGACAACATCCTCCCCTCCATGTGACTCCTCATGGGAAAGGTGTAAGAATTCAGTCAAATGCAATGGATACTATGAAATACGTGGTACAAATAGAGACCTGGAAACTAAGTCTTTCCAGAGTTCTACCCAGTGCTGATGAGAACTCCTCTATGTGATGTTAGGCAAACGATAGATGCAAATATTTTCAAACTCAGATATCACCTGAGGATACTCCTATAGCAAGAGTCTGCAGATCTTGTTTCATCAGCTTCACACCAACAAGATGAAGTGACTGTGTCAGTGCTTGTCAGAGCTCCTCTGCAGTCCCTCTGCCTACTTCAGTGCTTTGCATAAAGACCTCTGAAGAGATTTCACTACCGCCATTTCATAGTCAAAATGTAATGGAAAGGAAATCTATCTGTGCACTAGAAAGGATCAAAAATATTCAGCAGCTATCAGAGTCTACTGGCCAGCTTAGTTCTGTGGTTTGTTTCACAGTGTATGGTACTTGGCAGGACTCCTGCAGTCCTAACAGTGAAATATCAGCTGATCTCTAGCTTTTTTGCATTCTGACAAGCTCTGCAAAATGTTTGTTTGAGACTGAGCTTTTTTCCTTCCTTTTGGAAACTGTCTCTTGGAAATACGTTTGTGAATTAGGATGGAAAAACAAGTTAATTCTGCCAACTGTACATCTCCTGATGGAAGAGTTCCTCTGTTTTTTCATAATAGTCAGCAAATGTGTGGTTTCTCAGCCATGTAAACATAGAAAATACATTTAAGAAATAGGACTGAAATGCTCTTCTCACAATATATTTTAAATCAATAACATATGTAACCCTCAGCTACGCATACTGTATATACACCATGTTCTACAAAACGAACCTGGTTACTGTGTTTATACAAAATTATTTTTTTGTTCAATGATGAAAGCATACAAAAAGCTAGAAGAATCATAATATATTTGCAATTAGTTCTGTAAATATATGTTTAATTCTGCATCTAGGGTTGCAAACTATTAGTCATTATAGACAACCATTGCTTTTGATGTTGAGATGTGCCATGGAGATATATTTTTGAACAAGAAGACACTATGTAGGGTCTAATCATTGGTTCTGTAGAATATTGTTTAGCAGAGGATTAGCCATTAGTCGTTAGTATTCAAAGCTCTGGAATATACAAACAGGGGTTTTAACCAGTCTTCATCAAATGTATTGTAACTGCTGAATAAGCAGCTTGACATAGAGCACTTCCAAGAGACTGTGTACAAGATGTATTTGTACATGCTGTATTTCAGCTCCGATGACAAACTGGTTGGCAACTGGAGTTTTATTTTTTTCCACAGAAGATCTTGACAAAATAATACTAATAAAAATGTTGAACAAAATATAGCTAAAACCTGTCAGCCACAGTAACAAAAGTAACAAAATCTTTTAGCTAAAAATGAAAATATTTTTATGTGGAATTTGTCTTCATATGCCAAGAAAGATAAGGTTTTGGTGTCTCAGATTTCAGCTTTCCTCCAAATGTTGGCATACAATAATGAACGGGATCCCAAGGTTACTCTTAGCCTTTCACCTTGCTAGGAGCCTGAAGGGCACCCTTAGAGTTACTTGCTCTCTGGTGTGATCCTCTCCTTGGAGGAGAGGTTTTTTCCTTTGGAAATTATCTGCAGAAGGCACTTTTGATTATTTAAAGAATTTACTCAATATTCATCAAATATTTTATTTCCTATGCAAAATAGTCACTGATTTTTTTTCTTTTAACCAACAAAACCAGCTATTTTGGGCAGACCTGCTATTTCTATTTAGAAATACTACTTAATCTAGCTAAGCCCATGCAATCACTGAGAAACTGTCTGAGTTTGGAATAATAAAATGCTAAACCAGGGCCTGAAGAAAGGATGTCTTTTTAATTCCTCACAAACCACCATCAAAATACCCACAGAAGACCCATCACAACTGACCAGCTTTTAGAAAGAAACGTTACTATCAAGCATTCCCTACCTATTTTGTAGTCCCAGGGGGTGAAGGCTGGAGTCAGCCTTCCCAGATATCCGTGGCTGTTCTCCTTTCTTGCCACACCAGTCAATCTCTTGTAAGCCATGGCTAAGGCACACCCACATTGCTGGCTGGAAATATTTGCACCAGGTCTGCCTGGACTATTGTTGTTAAGTGACAACCAAAGTGCCAAATCAAAATATGAGTGTCAGAAGTTGATTAAAAGCCTGAAGTAAAATCCCATGTCAATGTTCTATGTAGAGTTATACATCCACACCTGCACACATTACATGTGTAAATGCATTTGTTATTTTATATATAATTTGAATATTTTTGCCACTTCAGTTACCCATCTCTTCACCAGCAGAGACCAATGCACAATCTTGGTTCCATCATGTTGCACCATCTATGCTTTTATTCTGAATTACTGAAGCAGTTTGTCTATAATACTAATGACTGCATTCACCTCAGTTATTCCCTCTGAGGGGTATCAGAATGGTAGCTTACATTTACACTTCCAGAAAAACAGTACCTCTGTTATATCTCAGATTTCTGATGATCTGGAATTAATGGACTGCACTGTAAAGCTAAGGTATCAGCTTTGTTGCAGGTATTGTACTGATTGCATGACATGTAATAAATAACAAACTCTCAATGTCCTGTCCCAGCGTGCACATGTACTTGTACTAAACTTGCCCTGAAGTGGTGGGAACAATCTCTACTTCGGTTGTTTCTAAAGCCTGCATAGACACAAAAAGGAAATCTGCCCTACATTATTGAAAAGTTGTTTTTATCGTTTCTCATAAGAATTTAACCTTCAGTCCAATGGTAATTCTTCCTCAGGAAACAGATGCAGAGCCCTCTGAAAAAGATGCTTTGCAGCCCGGACGCAATATTGTTGCTGCAGGCTATGCCTTGTACGGGAGTGCTACACTGGTTGCCCTCTCCACAGGGCAAGGAGTGGACTGCTTCATGCTCGATCCGGTACAGTCATGGTGTTAATCACATTGCTACAACCTTTTAGAGCTTTTTATGCCTGCGTTTGCTCATTTTTGTTACTCCTTGTCTCTGTAGTCTAGGCAATCTATGTGATTCTTGTTTTCACCCACATCCTGGACCATCCCACCTCCACCTTACAAGTAGTTGATAATACATTAATATGCTGGTTGCAAGACCTCTATTTGTTTTTCCTACTCAGTGAAGGAGAGTTTAAGTAATGCTGTTTAAGCATTACAGACTGCTGTTTCACACAAACATTTAAGAAATTTTACTCTGAACAGCATCTTTGCCTCCACTTAAAGGACTCCTGTTTTTTGATTGTTCTCTCTTTTTCTGTCTGTAGAAGAACCTCAGCATGGTCTGTGTTTGCCTGGAGGCAAGGACCGTTCTTTGATACAGTTCATGCAGAGTGATGTCTGATTTCCTGAGTGCAATTTAGTTTTATGGCTAAGTCTTCTAAGCTGCATACCCAACAATTTGCAAAAGCACAACCATACCTGTACGATCGGACATATGCCACCCCTCAGTGCCCAGCCCTGGCGCCCAAAAAGTGATACCTGTTTCTGTAATGCAGAAAAGAGACCACTGATTTGAAAGAAACAGCATTAGATGAAAGCAATACCATAGGAGGGGTTTTGATAAGAGAATGCATTATTATCAAACTTCTTTTAACCTTATAAACAGGCACATACCAAGTGGGAGGAACTGAGAGCTGAGATGCTCTGGTCAGAGACAAAGGAAGAGAAGGTAGAAGTTGCACTCAGACTGCAGACAGCAACACTTGGGGGTAGCATTCACTTTAAGATATTTAGACAAGACAGGCAAGAAAAGTTCAAAAATCAGAAGGCAGTGGTTCTGATTACAAGTTAAGGTTCTTAATTTGTAACTTTAGGATTTGTGGTCAGAGATTCATGATACATCTGCTTTCAGGGCTGCCTGGTGTTCTTTTGATGTGCTAACTATCAGAGTTGAACTGCTTTTTATTTATAGTAATACTGTGAAAAGTTTTCATGAACTTAACACAGATTCTGTGCTTTCTGCTCTGTTTAAAATACTGTCAGCTTATACACAGACTGTTGCTGAAAGGACCAAGCTGTACTAGAGTTTCTGCCATCACTAGTGTGGCAACTGTTATAGAAAGCCAACAAAATTTTCTGCTGCTTGCTAATAGCTGGTCTACCATTTCCTTCTGTAGGGTCTTGGTGAATTTATTTTGGTTGACAAAGATGTTAAAATCAAGAAGAAAGGGAAGGTATACAGTCTGAATGAAGGTTATGCAAAGTATTTTGATCCTGCAATGACAGAATATTTACAAAAGAAGAAATTCCCTGAGGTAAGAAAATAGTAGCACTGTACCCAATGTACTGTGGGCTGGCAAGCACTGCATTCCGCGAAGTCCTGGATGATGGGAAAGGATTTGAAGGCCACACTGAGTTCAGCCCCATGTAATCCTTTTGTGCTATTGGATCCATTTTGGGTATGTATCCAATGTGGTTTTTTTTCTCTGGTGCCCTGACATCTTTCATAACTTAGACTTTGGCAAGTAAATTCATAGCTTGTTCCTCACTGTGTGGAGGAAAATGTATTGTACATGAAGAACCAGGTTTTTCAACAGAGCTCTGAAACTGTGCCAGCAAAAAGTGGTGGTATCCTTTTCTAGCTTATCTGAATATGCAGCTCAGCCACATGTGCAGCTGGGCATTTGGGGCTAGATTCCACACAGTGCTCAGAAGGTGCTTGCAGGGATCTGGGTAACATCACCTTATCCTCCCTGTATATGTTTTCATCTGAGATATGCAGTATCACTCTTGCACTATCTACTTGAACTATATGGAGCAAGAACATAGGACACACAGGTTGGGAAAAAAAACCCAATGGTGTGACACATACTTTCACCATATTCTGTTAAGAGGATTATACTGTATTCCTCAGAGGGATAAAGATGAGAACATCCCATGTCTGATGAACTTTCTTGTGGAGACTTAACAACTCTCTATGGCCTCTAGTCAATTAGAGCAGGATACCACACAAGCTCTCAATGTGGAAAGCTGGAAGCTCCCTAGAAAGTGTGGCTATGTGAAAACTGATGTATCCAGTGGAAAACTTCAGGGTGCTGTACATGGAAAAGTTAACAAGTAAGAGTTTAAAGCATAGTCCTGTGAGAAGCTCTTTCTGAGCTGAAAATCTGAATTTACTGCATTATTACTACATATTGCAAGGCTGACCTCTCTTCAAAATGTCTTTTCTGTATTATCAAATCATAGCTACAAAGGGTGTCACATCATAGCATTTTAAACACATTAATTTTTAATATTTGAGGTCATTTTGAAACTTCAAAGCCTACTTTCAGTCCAGCTGTGAGAGAAGCAGAAGCCGACAACACAAATTTCATACTTCCTGAAAACTAATCCAGCTGAGAAAGAGGACATCTGTGCTTCTCATTCTGCTCGTGTTATGCTGAGCTATGTATTCACTATAATGCTATGACACTGGATTTACTAATCTGTGTTTTTTGCAAACCACCCAAGTGTTGCTTAAAGTAAATTTCTCAGTCAACTCCGGGCAACCTCAAAAAGACTGACGAGATTTCAAACTCAGTGGAATGACCAGGCAGAGGTATTTCACTAGCAGGCTGAGTGAGGACAGCTTTATCATGTGATTCACTAAATCCTTAGGTTAGGACACACAGGAAAAACCTCCTTTGACAAACACTATTTTATCTCAAATCTGTGCTTCATTTGAGGAAAATCTTTTGAAAGAGTTGTTGCACTAATGCAATAGAAGTATGCAGAAGGTGGTTTTGTTACTTTAAAGCAAGAAACACATTACTACATAGGTTATTTGGGGCAGCGGAAGCCTCCTCAAGGGTGCTGAGCAAGCACATCACTTTGCTACTCTGAGATGTAGGGCTGTCTGCATAAGAAGGGCCAAAGCACCAGTGTTACGGCCACAAAGCACAAGAAAGTGTCCTGCCTGTCTGAAAGCTTGTTAAGTACCTGAGTTTTGGAAACAGCGTAACTCAGTTCCTTGATTTAAAAAGAATACTGTGTTTGCATTGTGGAAGGAAAAGAGGGAGAAGGTGTTGCCACACTTCCATAGCATGAAAACTGCTTTCTGCATCACCTGTAATTCTTACCAGCTACACTGGTGATGATTCTACTTTCCCTGCAGCGCCCAGAAAGAGCATTGCACAGCTGTGGTCTCTTCGTCTTTCTCTCTTCAGCATGCAGAAGGGCAGTGGGGGTATCTCCTGGATACCTCCCACCTGTGACTTGAGGAGGTGTGGGGCATAGGGGACCCCTTCTTACTCAGGCAGACCACTCTGATCCTGTGGCCTTCTGGCCACTAGAAGCCAAGAGACTAGCATTCATTTCAGCTACTTGTCACTATCTTATACCTTTTTTCCTTTGATCCTACCTGTATTTCCTCCTGCTTGTGTTTCTTGATGAACATGCTGTTCAGACGACACTAACGCTGCCAAAAAAAATGGAAAAGTTAAAAATAAAACAGGCAAAGTAGGATGTTGTCCTGTATTCTGTATCACTGTCAGTAGCAACCAAATATTATAAATTAACTGTTTATGTGGAGAGGAGATACTTTGGCTTACTATCTAACCACAGCATACGAGATCAGACAGTTAAGGATTTGCCTTAGCAATGCCATCAAAAACTTAGCAACAGCACATTTCAGCATGAAACTTTCTTCTGCCAGCCAGCCAAGATATGCCTGAGTGATATGACAGAAAGCTAATAAAAACTCTGTGCTTTTGTTACCATATCTGTAGGTGGAGCAAGGGATGCAGGGTGTTGCTGCTGTAGTCTGTTCTCCCCACTCTCATAGTCATCACAGTTATGCAAGAAAAAACATGGTCTTGTTTTGCTGTGGATGAACATAGCTGTTGGAATATCTGTAGAATAAAGAAGTGAAATGTTACTTCCATCACATTGTGAAGGAAAAAAATCACAGGACCTATCTGTTATGAGCCATTTTTTGTTCCTTTGGGTTAAGCAAAAAAAAAAAAAAAAAAAAAGAAGCCGAAAGGGTGAAACTAAGAGCAATTGCAAGTTTATTCGAACACCATGGGTGCTGGCCAAGGGAACATCACGGTTTTCCAACTCTTTCATTAGCATCAACTGAATCAGTGCGAAGTTCTTACTGGGCAAACACACAGCTTGACATTACTCAGAACTCAGTATGAAACTCCCTATCGCTCATGCTCTGGTTTTTGGGTTGAGAAGAAGGCTTGGGAAATGTGCTGGACACACATGCAATGCCTATTAAACTTCTCATCTCTAAGAAAAATGCGTGAGTGACCAAACTGGAGAACAAGAAATAACGTTTCTAGTAACTAAAAGGACTATTTATTCCTCCCATGCAGGTAGCTGGACTCTAAGTGAAGCAAAAATGCTATTTCAGTCCATAGTTCAAGAGATAACAGTATCAGAGTGGAGGAATTTCTCATTTGTATTTTTCTCAGCACAGATTCAGCTCTATGTTTCTAGCATACGAATTTCTATCAGGGTAAGAAGCAAGCAAAACTTTAAGTGTAATCTCATCATCTTCACTTAACACTGTCCCTGTACACATAAATTGTGGAAATGACCTGCATGTGAATAGGATAATCCAGCATATCCCAACTGTATCTGGTGATCTGTACTTAGATGGTTCAGCTCTGCAGCTCATTGTCTGTATATTTCAAACATGTGGGTTGTAGACTTGTTATTTGATAATGTCATAGAAGCAGTCCTTAGCAGTCTGTTTCAGGGCCTGCTTATGGTTGATATGCTATGCCTTCCTTATCTTAATGTTTAACAAACTTTTCTTAAGACTTGCTTCATTGCCTTCTGAAACCATGGAAGAGAGCTCTTCCTTCAATTGTATTTTTAAAGGTAATTTTAGACTGTAATCACGTCTTTCCCTGAATATTGTCTTTTTCTAAACTGAAAACTTGCTTTGTTCTCTCTTAAAATACCTCTTAAGCTTTTTTTTTTTCTGACTTCGGATTTTTAGAATTGCAAAGTCACAAGTGCTAACAGCTCTGAGATGGCGAAGCTATCATTTGAAGTCTAAATATATAATTATTTGAGGGTAAGCTGTGAAAAATAAGGGATCAAATACTTAAAAGTATTGTTCAGTTGTGCCTGGAAGTAATACTGCCAGGTTTAAACAAAACTAAATATTGAAGCTTCAGGCTCTGTCTTACCTATCATGTCCTTGCACTGTTTTCCTCTGATTTTTTATAGTTTTTCTAATGTCTGCAAGAAGAAAGAATCGCAGAAAATAGCACAAGTATGGTTGAACAAGGGTTATTACCTAGGCTGGAGCTGTTCTCTGTTCCAGTTTTACTACCAGCTGTATCAAATATCCAAGTCTTATATTTAGTGGCTTAGGACTCAACTTCCTAGTGTTCTGTTGCATTATGTTCTGTACTTCCATGAAAATCTCCTCTGATTTTAAAAGGGAGTAAACATAAAAAACTTTACAGTTACAGAGAACAGTTTGAAAAAGTTATTTCAAAACAGAATGAAGTTTTTCTCTGTGTTTTTAAATCCCACTTGTGGATTTTCTTTTTTCTTTTTTTTTCCCTTCAGCTAAGCTCAAGATTTTGCTGGGAAGCGTGACTAACTTGTGGTGTCTGAAGGTCTTTGAGCTAACACTGCTGAACACATTCTCTATGTATTTCTCTTAATCTAGAACACACAAGGTGAACTTTGTAGAAAGCACTAGGATCTCTTATTAGACAACTGATACAGACAGAAAAAATGTTCAGAGGTCTTTTCAAACCTGTAGCGTTGCAATACACAATTGCACGTATTGAATGTGCACAAAGTCCCAGTCTCTAGTAATTTTCTAAGGAGGCACAAATTCCTCCTCCGCTTCAGTTCAGTATATTACTGCAAGACCAACAGATTTCTTGGCATAGTAGCTTTCAAAAAGCTCTCCTTCGGTTTACATTTGTATTGTGTATCTCCTCATCATAAAAGTACGGTGGTGCGTTGCTTTTCTCAGGTGGAGTTTATTTAGTGTATATAACTGCTATTTGTGCAAGATACCTAGTTTGTCTTCTATATTTCCTACCTTTCCTTACCATTTTCATAACCAATAAACCTGAGACTGATACGAATACTTCCCTGCTTGCTCTTACTAAAATGAACTCTCCTTCAATGACATTAATATCTAAGCTGAGAGCAAGGAAAATCATATTCATAAATAAATTGCTTCCTTTCAAGCTAAACTGCGGAATGAACACTATGTCCAATTTCACAACCTGACAAACAGGCTAGAAGCCCACTGTGAACCATCTAGATCTGTTGTGAAAAGTGACATCCCTCCTCATGCTCTGGGTTAGGAACCAGTGAAGGATCAGCAAACAAATGTATACCTTGTACTGATAATCTGAGGAAGTTTTTACTCACTTTGCAGTGAGTTTGCAGCCCTTGCTTTTTCACAGGCTGGGGACTGATACCAAATTACACGTTGTGCACTCAAATTACAAGCAGCTTGTTTTCTATGCTGTGAATGAGCTCTTTAAAGTGTTTATTTAGAACTCCATAGACAATCCTACAAAAGGCTAAGCTTCAGGCTGGTTTACGCATTTATAGTGTTTATAAGCAGCCACAGGTGTAAGCAGATTTGATTCCTGTTTCGTAACAAAATTACATTTTTCTGTGCTACTAGCTGTCTAACCTGGTAGATTTAATGCTTTACTCTACATTTTTCAGGATGGCAGTTCACCATATGGTGCCAGGTATGTGGGCTCCATGGTAGCTGATGTTCATCGTACATTGATGTATGGTGGTATCTTCATGTATCCTGCTAATCAGAAGAGTCCTAATGGAAAGGTAAGTTGTTTGACTTATTCTCTGGTGAGCTTAGTCAACCTAATACCTCTGTTTTTCCTAGAGAAGTAAAAGAACAGTTTATAGACAGATAATAATTTTCCATCCCCTGGAGAAAATTATTAATTTATATGATGGTCAGCAAAGGAATTCAGGCAAGAAATTTAAACAATTGCCTATTTAGGCAATTCCCAATTTAGGCCAGATATCTTCCCATGTGCTTTTATATTGCACACTACTCAAATAATCTTCATGGCAACCAAGGGCTTTATTCATCTTTATGAAGTGAAATATTTCAGTACCATAGAAACCTGTTGAGATACCTATGACAGTTGGCGTAGCTGAGGGGGGAAGAGGAGGAGGAGAACAAACAAACAAGACCCCAACCAACCAAAACCAACTAAAATAAAAACAGAAAACAACCCTCAAGCCATTAAACAGTGTGGATCTGGTTGTGTATCTGAGCAAGAGACAAAAAAGGCATTTGCTGTCTGTGAGAAAATTGGATTTGCTGACGGGCCTCTTCCAATTAAACTTCTTGTTTTGAAATCTGTGTTAAACCTTTATTGTAGAGAAAACATGAGGAACAGGACAAAGGAACAAATGTACAAAGTACTTACATAGTTTTATAAAAATCAAGATTTCTGCATGAGTTAGCCTGCATTGACTGTTTGATCTAGTTTGCACTGCCATAGGAGAGAAAATGAAAGAAGCAAAACTGTACTACCATTACAAATAAAAGTTTTCTCCTTTCCTTCTCAGAGGGTAGGTGAAGACAGTATTTTCCACATAAACCTCTTCTTGAAGGAGAGATCATGCCTCTGTGGCAGCTACCTCCTGAAAGTCAGTGTGTGCGCTTAGAGAGCTGAGAGGAACCAAATGTCACAGCAAACATAAATGACATGTATGTAGGCTCTAGCATAGAGAACTCCTTCATTAGGTTACAAAAAGAGTGAAAAAAAAAAATGCTCAATAACTAGTGCTGGATTTATCAGCCAATAAATAGGTCTTCTTTTCAAGTTAGATATATTAATCTTTCTTTTTTAATATGAATTTAAGGCTTATAGTTATCTATTAGGTGAAAAATGTTAAACCAATCTGAAGACAGAGCCCTTCTGAAGACCCCTAAGCGCGATTGAACTATTATTTGCAGGAAAACTGCTTTATTTAAGCCACATAGTCACAGGATAACCAATAAGAAACTCAACATATGCTTCCACTGCTGTATTCTGGCTCATGATCTTGCAAAATTTGGCTATGCACTGAGAACAATGGAGGCTGTAGGTCCTATGTTGCTTGTCAGGTGGAGACCTTGTACCAGAAGTAGCACTTTAGTGGGCTTTAAAGATAAGAATGAAGGTAATATGTGTTATTTAAGTTTCTGACACATGGTTTCATTACAAACAGTGTGATAAAGAAATGATGGCTAGTAATGTCCTGTCTCCAACCCATTTCTTTGTCTCTATATACAGTTGCATTCTGCCATGATTTCTTTTCCCCAGAAAATATTCTCTTTTGCACATATGAAAAGCCCTTTAAAAATGATATGTACTAATATTGTCTCACATGAGCACTTCATAGACCATCAGAGATTCAACTAAACCTAAGTTTAGAACTAAACATTAAAAAATAACCAGCTACCATCCATGTCCTTTTAAACATAGAAACTTTTGGCATATGTTTCAAGTAAGTTTGCATTCCACACAGAAACTCCAGAGATAACTTCTTTAAAGATGTGAACAGATATCAGGGTCCAAACCGAAAGTATCTTCATACCAAAATGGAAAATCTGCTTTAACTAATTACTGCAGTTACTTCTGAAAACAGAGTTGCTGTCTGGATGAGTTCAGGCCACTAATATCTATTCACATATCTGAAGAGTGGCAATGAAATCCTGAAATTTGAAACCAGGAGCATCAAGTTTCAAACTCCAAAATATCCTGACCAGACAAAATCTGATTACCCCAAGCTTTGAGGTAATGTATAAAGCCTCCACATGAGAAGAGATTTGGACTTTGGTTTCCCGGTACTGTTGACTCAGCTGGCTGAACTCTTTTGCTGATGTCTGTGGTCTGACAGCTTCTTTTGACATTTTTGACAAAATACAGCTTCGCTGGTGCTGCACATCAGTACATCAGCTTGGAAACAATGGTGGTGATGCTTGGACGCAGGGTCAGTACACTGTTCCTCAAAACAGAAGGTGTTAAGGGAGGTGAGAGAAGGAAAGGGAAGAAGGAGAGACTGACTTGGTAGGGTTCTTTCATGTGATTTCTCCCAAAGGCAATCATGTGTTCCCTCTTTCTTTCTAGCTCCGACTTCTCTACGAGTGCAACCCTATGGCCTTCATCATTGAGCAGGCAGGCGGGATGGCGACTACAGGGACTGAGGCGGTGTTGGATGTGAAACCTGAGAGTCTTCACCAGAGAGTCCCTCTCATCCTTGGTTCTCCAGATGATGTGCAAGAATACCTTGCTTGTGTACGGAAGCACCAGAAGAGCAGCTAAAGGCTTCTTGGCATCAGATCTTGCTCATCCATCTTCAGTCTACAGGAGAAGCCATACCTTTCAAGATGGTGGATTCTAGCAAGTAGCACTCATCTCCGAGTGAAAATCCCACTTTATGAGAACAAGAAAAATAGTGAAAATGGCTGATGGGAATAACAAAAATTTCATTTTTTCTTGCACACAAATGTAAGAAAAATCCTTTATCTTTGATTTATGCAGTGCAAATTTAGAGACAGAGGCCTGATTATTAAACAGGAGCAACTTACTTTATATAGTATTAACAAAGGAAGTGGATTGTGCCAGTACCCCCATTCAATCTGAAGCTTTACATCTGAAACTACATGGTTGGCATGATTTTCACATTAACATTTGCAATGCCATTATCTGGATTTTGTGTCAGAGGTTTTGTTGCAAGGTGCTTTTTATCTTGACAGCCCTGAGAAGACCAAGTCATATGTTGTCAGAAATAGTATTTTTATGCTTCAAATTATATACGTCTTGGGTAATTAATAAAGATGAAAAGGCTGCAATGTTGCCAGGGTAATTCAACTCTCATAAGAACAGGTAAATGCCCTGTGTTATTTACAGACAGGTAACTGCCAGCAGCACAAATTACAATAAACCATTGCTATGGATGTGACACTCAAATCATGCCTATTCCCTGTTTATCCATTGTCCGTTGCAATAGAAGATGAGCTATCACCACAAAGCTGTTACACCTCCATTTTCTTTTACTTTGAAAGGTTCTAATTTCAGTTTGAAGCTTGTCCTTTTCTACACATTACACTGCCATTCCTATCCACCTCCAGCACACCCATCCTGTCAGTGCCCTAGTGCTATGTCTCAGGCTTGACACAGCATAAGGAGATCAGGAATCAGTTCTGAAGCTAGCAGCCATTCATTAACCAAAGAGAGCAAAAATTATTAATTCAGAGAAATGCGTGATTATGTGAAGTGACAAGGGTGTGAAAACTGGGCTTTAGGTCACTTTGAGTGACATCCTGATACCTTTTTAAGCCTCCTGTCTCATGATACGGATGTTTGTTTTGGCAACCATCCTGCTGTAAGCAATTCCTGCCCCTACTGCTTATTTGCAGCCCTAGTCTGTGCCCCCGGTCACAGGGTATGTGGAGTAGTGGTGTCTTGTATGCTGGTACAAGACTTTATTAAGAACATTCTGTGAATTACAGTAGGACACCGGTGGGACAAATTCATGCCAGAATAGAGTTTCATGCCAAGAAACTCCAATGGCTATTTTTAAACTTAGAACTATGTTCTATTATTCAAAAAGAAGAAGCAGGCTGAATAAGGCAAACAGCAAATTATACAGGACACATACTTACCCTTAAGGCATTGTTATCCCAAAAGTGAGAATGTGATTTCATTACTGCTTCAGGTATCAAAGCACTCTTTCTGCAGGTGTTAATCTGGCACTCTTTAGAGCTTTAACAGTGACAACTGCCCAGGACCAGCAAGTACAGTGTGTACTTGTTTATTCTGTTCCTCGTCATGTGCTTCCCGAATCTCTGCTATCAACAGCAAAATGCAAGCAAAGCTTAAATCCTGGAGAACTAAGAGGAAGCAGAAAAACCTGCAAATGGTTTAGGTAATAGCCAGTTTTATACTGGAGAATGCAATTGTGCGCTGACTACGAAAGCTAGTAAATCAGTTTTCCTTCAGACAAAGTATGCACACAGTGTATGTATGCATATATATGTTCACAAATATATTTTGTACATACATACTCATGCCTGATCTCTCTCCCCCACATTCTCCACCTAAGAACAAAAATAATTGTGGATGTCACTGATTTACTGAGAAACTCTATTGAATTTTAAAATCAGAAACCTAAAATCAAGCATAATTTGAGGCTAATCTAGTAAGCTAATAATGACAGTACTGCATCAGAAGAAACAGCACTTGTAACCTGGTCCTGTTTCCAAGGGGCCAAGAGAAGATTAAGGACAGAGCAAGAACAGGGTCTTCGTACTCCCCAATTTAACCACAGGGCCTCTAATAACAAGCCCTTTTTCAGGAAATGCTGAAAGAAAGTTTGTGTTGCAGTGGGTGTACACACTCTAATGACTAAGATCAGTGTTCCTGTGTTGGCAGTTAAATTACATATCTGCACACTGCAATATGTCAGTCATTCAGTGCCATGATGCCAGTGCAGCACCACCTGAGTTGCCTTCATGTAAATATGTTTTCACAGCAAAACCTGCATATAATTGCAGCTGCTAGACTTCCCATGACTTTTTAGTTTCCTGAATTTACACCAGAAACACCTGATAGTGAAGGAGCTAGCGCTATGTCACGCATCTGACAAACAACTGCTGTTTGGGTGGCTGTTGATGTTTAGTTTGCTTACGATAACGTATACAGTTTGCGGGCTGCAGGGTGGCTGGCATCTACAAGGAGATCAGTATCTTTCCTGCATAAACAACCCATGCGCAGATTAAGAAAGCAGTGACGGTGTGAACTGTGGATTTTCTTCACCGGAGTCCCACTTTAACAAACTGCACCTATACTGTTTTCCTAAGTACTTCTGTGATATCTCCTGCATCTAGTACAACCCTGCAACCAGACTGCTCTGTGGAGTCCTTCTTAAACCATCGGGACAAGAGTTTGAAGTTTCCCTTCCCAGTGCAATATCATTTCAGACCATTTCTCCAGAGAGAACAGGGTGTCTGTGCTGGTGGGGTCACCATCTATGAAGCCCTTGCACTACTGAGCCACAACTTCCCTTTACAGTCAGCTGTCAGGGTGTCTGAGGGCATCCAGACAGCTGAGAAAACAAGACAGAGCTTGTTGATGTTGTTCTTTTTTAAGAGTCCGGAGACTGCATTTAGTTGTTGGAGCAGTGAGAGAGGGAATGTACCACTAACTGTCATCAACACGGCCTGGAGGAGCAGGGAAGCTGGCATGGACCAGCACTTACTTCCTCTGCTTACTGAAGGTGATGCCAGGTATCGTTCTTCAGATACTCATCAGCATGATACAAAATTGAAAATACATGGAAATATCAAGCACATGAAGGAACAGACACACATTTAAATATTAGTTCACATGTGTGCCTTTGTATTGGTATTTAATGGTTTCTTATAAAATTATATATAAAGTATATATTTTATATAGATTCTTTTATATGGTTTTATACATAAAATTATATGTAAACCAATGCCAGCTTGATTTCCTATTACTTTTGGAGGAGGACATGGAAAGGAAAGTATACTAGTTACAGTGTACCAGGTATGTAACAAACATGACTATTCTTAAAGCACTGGTTTGTGACTTGTTGCCAAACCTAATTCTTACTTCCAACTGCAGGACACCTTTACACCTATTTCAGAAGTAAAATAAAAGCTAACTACCTAAACCTGGGGGTATCCAATAACACAAGAAAACGCAGAAACCCCAGCAGTCTATTGTAAATGAGCAGCTGTTCACCAATTACTTTGAGTGGAAATCAAGTCAGTCTGAACAGCCAGCCGCAGAGTTGGCCTTGTGACTGCAATCACAAGACAAGGGATCAGAGAACAGGTTGGGGCTGGCAGTCTTCCCACCCAGTTTGTGGCACCCAGCCTGCCTGTGCTGCTGCCTGCCTGCCTGCCTTCCAGCCCAGTGCTGCAGGCAGCTGATCCTGGACCCTCTGCAGTGGGAGCTCACCCTCTCGTGAGAAACCAAGGCAGCTGCAATGGAGATGCTGTTTGAAATGTTGGCTCAAACGTGTATTTGAGCATTTGTATCAAAAGTCGGTACTTTTATTCTGTTTTCCATGAAACACACACACAGGGGATTGTCTTGTTTTGGTTTTTTTAGTAAAGACAACCGATATTTCTGGAAAAATCAGCCAAGACTTTTCTTTGTTTGTAAAATAGAAGCAGTACACTTCAGGCTAATTACAGAGAAAAAACAAGAAAGAGCTCTCAGTACACAGCTTATACTACCCAGTCGGGCTCATGGTGAAAAAAGAGTCTTTGGTACCTATGGAACAGAAGTGAGGGATTAACAAGAAGAAAGATCATTAACTCCTTCAAGACATCAAAGATAGAAGTATCTGTTTTCCAGAGATATCCAAGGCCCAAATGTGGGTAAAGCAGTAAACAAAATGAACACTGAGCTAGAGGATGTGCAGACAGTTACCCAAAGGTACAGAACAGTCCCTACCATTCAGGATTCATGTCATCATGGGCAATATTCACAAACCCCAGGCACTGCTACTGAAAACACACTCAGGTTTTGTTCCTAGCTTTCTGCAAACACAGATGTGGTTCCAGTAAACAAAAATAAAAACCTCAAACCAAGCATGTGATCTGATTCCACTGAACTGATTTTAATACTGCACGGAGATAGGTCACGAGGATGATCAGGGGGCTGGAGCACCTCCTGTATGAAGACAGGCTGAGAGAGTTGGGGCTGTTCAGCCTGGAAAAGAGAAGGCTGCATGGAGACCTCATAGCAGCCTTCCAGTACCTGTAGGGGGCCTATAAGGATACTGGGGAGGGACTCTTCATTAGGGACTGCAGTGGTAGGACAAGGGGTAATGGCTTTAAACTTAAACAGGGGAAGTTTAGATTAGATCTAAGGAAGAAGTTCTTCACAGTGAGGGTGGTGAGGCACTGGAATAGGTTGCCCAAGGAAGCTGTAAATGCTCCAACCCTGGAGGTGTTCAAGGCCAGGTTGGACAGAGCCTTGGGCGACATAGTTTAGTGTGTGGTGTCCCTGCTCATGGCAGGGGGTCAGAACTAGATGATCTTAAGGCCCTTTCCAACACTAACTATTCCATGATTCTATGATTCTATGACAGATACGTTTTCCCACCAAGATCTGCCTGGGGTGGGGATCGCTCTCACCCAGTGCAACGATTTGCATCATGGATTTGCAGGATCCTATTCATTAGGAGCCCAGCAGGTTTCTGGCAGCAGATTTTGCTGTTCTGGCCACTCTGACCAACAAAGGGAGTTTGGTAAGCCAGCTTGCAGAGGGTGTTGGCCAGGACAGCTATGTACTCACACGTCGATAAACAGAGTTTGGCCTAAGTATTCTTGTC